CAAATGACAACTTAAAAAAAAAAAAGGTAGAATCAATTCCCCCACAGAAGATAAAGACAACACAAATATATTTGGAAACCTGATAAATCAAACAGCAAAATACGAATTTCTATACACCTAACTATAGTGGATGTGAAATTTTTTACCATGCTGCTTATTACCTAGCTATTGCCTCATCATCCACTAGTTGCAAAGAGGCCAGATGATGAATTTACATTGCAGTTGTACGTCCATGATTCTGAGTGCATCTTCTACTTAGATCACAAGGTTTCTCAGTGGATCGTGAGAACTTTCTTCTGCCGGTTCATGATTTCCTGTCTTTGGTAAGTTGGTTATACGCTTGCAAGAATCCTGGATGTTTTGTCAGGCTCTCAACTCTTAGGCAGCACATCTCAGCCCAGACAACTCAGTGCACGTCTTCTGGCTGTAACACGGGGGGACTGGTATAAGCTCATTTGGGGATACTCTGGCATCTCCACAAACGTGGTGAGTCACTGCAGCTTTGGAAAACCATGTTGAATGTGCTGTAGTTGTTACAGAAACCAACTGGGGGCGGTGGGAGGGAGAAGCAATGGATGAAAAAAAGCCCTCGCTTCATTATGAGTCTCTTTAAATTCTATACTCAATTAAGTGAAAACAAAGATTTACTCAGAAAACAACTAAGTTTTACTTTATTGCCCAGTCGGCTTCTCTTCTGTTAAAGGTCAACTATGTAAAAACTGATAGGACATAGAATGGTGGCAAACACACTATCACTTTAACTGCTTCGCACAGGAGGAAATGACTCTGGGTTTGGTATCTCCTTTCGTCCCTTTTTCTCCAAGCGGTGGTCCAGACCCGCGGGGGCTCGAGCTGCAGGTGCGAGAGCTGGCAGACACAGGTGCAGCTGCATTTCCTTTCTCCAAGACCTTTAAGGTCAATCGGCTAGCTCGCTTTGACCACAAGTGGAGCTCTTCTTAATTTCTTTAGAACAACTTGACTTGATATGAATCGCTTACACAGGGAATGGTGCAGACAAGGCAGCTTTATTATATTTTGGGGAGAAAAAAACATGATTCTGTATGGGGGGGGGGAAGAGCCATTGCCACTCAGTGAGCAACACTGCCATCTAGTGGGAAGGGGAAACACCATCAAGCCTGCTCAAGACCAGATAGCAAATGTGAGCAGATTTCAATTTTTACCACAGAACACTTTTAAAAAATTGTTCTTCTATTTTTACCTCTGTAATGCAAAAGTATATGTGCTTTCTATTTGGGGGGGGGGTGGAGAATGATTTTTTTAAAAGGACTAGACCATTAATTTAATTCTCAACGTCCAAGTTAAGAAAAACTTTGTGCTAACCTGTCTTTTGGAACAACCATCACTCTTGCAACTCGTCTAAACAGCAGCTCCTGGTTGTGACAGTTTATATAAAAAAACAAAACAACTGTATACGAACTACATTTACTCATTTCCTCTATTTTTACAGTTTGTGGTGCTAAGTATTTGCACTTCACTTATTTGAATTCCTGAAAAAAGCATTAGAATGCACCAGTAACAATTTTGCATAAATCACATAACCCAGCTCTTATTATGACTATACAATAACAGTGAAAGATATTCTTGTGAGGAAGTGGGAATGTTGTTCTTAATGAATAAGGTAATTCTTCTCAAGGTCTTAATTTCTTTATATCCAGGTGTTGTAATAAATGTGATTTGATGATTTCTGTATGTATATAAATGAGCATTTTTAATGAAACACCTGCTTGAAAAAAGATATAAAGTTGTAAGAATAACATATTGTTAATAACCTCCATCTCCAATCAGCATCCTCTGTTATTACTGAGATTTTAGATTCTGGGTTAAGTGCTCTGCTCTTCGAAATATACACAATGGTTATTGATCCTGCAAATGAGTTCCTCTATTGCAACACTTCTGGGTATATGGCTGGAGGCACTCAATGGTTCTAGAATGCAGGAGTCTGACACAGTCACCATTAACATGTTCTTGGTAAATACTATACTCAGTTAAGGATTTCAGGAAGAACTAAGTTCTGGAGAGAGGTATACAAGTGTAGAGTAAGAACCTGAATTAAGACATCTTCAGGTTGCATTCTGTCAGTAGACACAACTGCATGTTTCAATTCTGAGAACCTGAGATAGTTCAGAAAAACAAAATTCTGAGTGTGGGGCTTCAGCTAACACGAAATTGGATTGCAGTGTTTTTGCATTTCCCAAAGCAACAAGCATTGGGGTGGGGGTGTTTTGAATTAACTATCTGAAGGAGGTGGTGCTTTGAGAGTTAATCTAGACTGTTGCTGGGCACCGAAATCTCCCATAATCCCCTTCACTGCCCTCCCCACCCCAGTCTGAAGTGTTCCATCACCACATACCCAAGTCTTTCACGTGCTATTCGAGTACCCTCAAAACCAAAACAATAAAAGATGCCAGAGGAGGCTTATATGAACTCAAACATGATGCCAAAGTCATCTTCAAAAAAGTTTATTAGCATGATTAAAAACATTTTCTTGAATAATGACAGAAAGAATTTCTAAACATGAAAGAGTATCAATGGCTATACCTTATAACCAATATTTGCAACCGAACAGAGAGCTTTATTATCAGTCTTCCTTTTATTAAAAACAATCCATATTTATTGGTTCCACGTGAAGCCAGGACTATTGCTTTTGACTGGGAATGAGTCCCTACTGCAATTAAGTATAAAAAAATATCTTCCATATTGGAATGTGACCTGCATTATTGAGTAAAGAGTTGATAAAAATCCTCAAAGAGTTGGGTTTTTGTTTTTTAAAAACATTCCTTTTACACACTACAAAGAAATAATTAGTATTTTGGCTTTTTAAATTCCTACATGATATTTTAGAATGGCGGTCCCCAAAGGTCCTCCCTTCACATAGCTGCGAATGCAGACCCTCTCCTGGGCTGGACATCCTTGGGGTGGACTGAAGACTCCGGCCTCCACGTTTATACTGGTTTGAGAACAAAGACAGCGTCATCCAGAACATAGTAGTCATTATACATGTCACCTTCACACAGGTACGGCAGTCTGGTGAAAGCTTCAATAACAAAACCAGCTTTTCTGAAAACTTCAGGCAGACTATTCACTTGTTCTTCCCAATTCTGTCCCTTGATTTCCAAAATTTCTGACGGTTTCTCCCACTTGCCACCTACTAAAACAAATAAAAACATTAAGTTAAATTCTTGAACAAATAGCTATTTAAGGGGGGAAGACTTTATCTCCCTGGGACTTGGAAGATGCCAGCACCAAGTGCTCTGCTGCATCACTGCCCAACACTCAGGCACGGCAGAGATGAGCCACAGGCGAGGCAGGGCTGAAGGACGTACCTGGCCCACAGGGTCGTGTCAGTGGAAATGTAGCCCAAGCTTTTCTGGATGCAAAGCCTACACTGCAGGACCTTCTCTGACAGAGGTCAGGACATTACCTTTCCTCAGACTGGCTGAGGAGTAATGGTTAATGGGTTTGGAAACGACTCATTCATACTGAACACTGAGGTAGAGAGTAAAATAAAACCTGAAAGGATTTTCGATAAACACAATGTCACCAATGTAGTCCACTTAGGCCATGTGTTAAACAGAAAATAAAAATGGCCATTTGGAGGATTTTGATTTATAAAAACAGATCATCAGTGTATTTTTCAAAGGAAGTGGCTTTGCTCCCTAACTTTTCAGAACAATTTTGTAAAAGTTCAGTTCCAGGACCAGAGAGCAGTAGATCACTACAATGCATGAGTGGACCAAGCAATGCTTAGGATAATCTGTGTCAGCCTGAAGTCTACAAAATCCTTGTGCATCAGCTTGGGGGGAGAAGGGGAGGTTTCAAGAATACACACCAAGTACTGAGTGCACAATATAATGGTATATATAAATTTGGGGGTGCTTTTAGATGCTGTGATAATGTTTAAATATATAGATATTAAAAATGTTTTACTAAATTCAGATTAACTTTCTCTAAATCAGGAAACATGTAATCAGCAGGTGTCAAGAGAATACATGCTACACGCAGACCTGACCCTCCTCTTCCTAGAGTCTTGCTGGGAGGCAAAGCCCAGGAAGCAGCGCCCCTGCCTTTCTTGCTGAGGCAGAGGCACATGATCTCAGCTCAGACACTCATGTGGGACCTGGAATGAAGAGCTAGTGACCCAGAGAAGGGGGGTGGACGCGTGAGGCTCATTCTGGGAAGTGGGGGGAGCCGTGGCCATAAGAGGCGGCAGCCAGGACAGCACTGAGCGGGAGACAGAGCTAACAACAGACCTAGGCCCACCCGTGTCCTCTTCAGATCAGGTTTATAGCGTGTTTGGACCATTTTTCTTGGCCATGTTGCACATGAGCCCCCAGCCCTCCCAGAGACTCTGGAGCTACCCTCAAATCCTCCATAAATTCCCTTTTTCTTATGTCAGCCCATCAGTTTCCACACTTACAGGAACCTGACTGAAATTCCCAGGCACCCGGGGTGGCGGGGACAGAGGCAGATGACAGGGCCACACATTTGTTTCACAGCAGATTAAAAAGAGGTGATACTAAACTGGGGCACAACTAGCAGATGGCACCCTACTTATTTTCACTGTACCATGAGGCACAGTCCTTATGTAGAGACACGGCTGCTTCTCCCCAAGTCCCAGCAGTTACTGGCCCAGCATCAGGCACACAGCAGGGCCCCAGGACCAGCAACTCCACCACTCTGTATATTTTTCAAGTCCCAATTATCTGTCAAAAGGTACCCCTTGCTGGAGACTAGTGCCACATGTAAAATAAAATCTCATTCAAGACATCTAACACCTATGAGGATTTGTAAACTCCACGAAAAAGCCATCACAGGAACATTCAGAAATGTGCTTGAGGTTAAAATCTCAACTTTTGATGGTGAAACTGAGTTACAAACAATCTTTACACAATTTCAGAAAGTTCCCAATTACGGTTCCTTAATAAAGTTCCTCTCTTTAGTTCTTCCTTTTTAAAAGGAAAACAAAAAAAGCCAACTCTCTTCAAATGCACATTCCCCCCACCACCCACACCCACACACAGAAATGGCGCCTGTCAACGGAGGGAAGACCATTCTCGGCCTGGAAATCAATCTGATTCTATTTTATGTCGGTAAGGTTCTTTTTTTTCTTCTCCATTTTAAATCAATCATTGGATTTTGTGTGATTCATTTAAATTTTAAGCGCTACAAATTAATGCTTAAATGTGTAACATGATAGAAATTATCTAAGGTGATAAACTTCCTTTCTCTCCAGAGAAAATGATGAAAGAATAGCTGAGGAAAAGTTTCATACTAACCTTGAAAATTCCCTTCACTGCTATGCTGCTTTGGAGCAGAGCCCCTCACAAACAGGCTGAAAACACCCCCAAAAACCCCACAGAAACCCACCCTGAGCACAGCGAGCCACTCACTCAAGATTTTCAAAGAACAAAGTTTCTGAAAAGCTGAATTTCCATAAATTAAAAAAGTACTTGTAAAAACAAAGCTGTCATGGCTGCTTCCCTAGAAAACAGAAAGTGGTTCCTGTATCACAGTTTTAATCATCTCATCAGTTCAACTAAATCTAGTAATCTCAGATTTGCCCACAAAGTTTGGGTGGTGAAGGGGGCAAAAGCTCTTAAATTTCATTTCTCCTGTCTTTAAAGAAATATATCAAAATGCTAACAGTAATTATTTTGAGCAAAACTATTTTGGTTTCTATTTTCAGTAACAGTGTTTTTTTCTAATTTTAATTAGTATTATTTTAAAGAAGAATGCTTAGTTTTTTCAGATACGTTCTGACAGATGTGCAGGTAGAGTATCTGGAATTTGCCCCAGGTATTTACCCTACTGTGAGAGGGGAGGGGGAAAGAGAAGAAACAAGACTGGGTTGGAATCAGGCGGCAGGGCCTCCCTGGTGGCGCAGCGGTTGAGCGCTGGGCTGTGAAGCTGCCCGCAGCCTCTGCGGCGCCGGTTCAATCCCCAGCCTCAGGGTGAGGGTCCCACATGGGGCACAGACCTCTCCTGCCTCCTGCTGCTCCCCTCAGCAGTGTACTTCATCAGTCTGTCTGCTCTGCTCCTCTCTCACTCTCCCGCGCTTCTGGACTATACCCAGTGCTTGTATAAATAAATAAATAAATCTTTAAAAAAAAAAAAAAAATCAGGCGGCAGCTAGCCTAGGACTGAAATTGTCCATAATGAGGGATTAAGTGTCAAAGATTCGTTCTGCACTTACTTTTCTAGTGTTTTTTAAAAACAGTAAAGTAACCTTTTAAAATGACTGCCACCATCTTATGAAAGAACCATTCAACTGTGTTTTTTTTTTTTTAAATCCTACAATGATGAGAGTTTTAAAAGAGAAATTTTTCACAGGAGTAGCTGCGGTTTATTATTCAAACTTCTCTGTTTTGCTCAAGTGTTGCTTAACTGGTGGGGGTAGGGGGGTTTCCTCACAGTCCCTCATAGGAAACTCACGACAACTAATTTCACAGGAGTCAGAAATAAGCAGAGATATGAAACTCCAAAGCTGAAAATTTTAGTTCGCCAAGGAAAGTTGAAAATACTAAGTTCTCCAAGGAAGTGTTAAAAGTCAGTTTCTTTTTTAAAAAATTCTTTGAAAGGACTTGAGCTAGAAACACTTCTATTAATTTTGTTATACTTTGCCGAGCCCAATTCCACATCAAATGCCCAATATGTTATATAATGATCATTATTGTCGAGCATCTGTCTGCACCTGCAAGGGCTCTAAGTCTGGGACAGACATGGGGCCCAGGCCCTGAGCTGAGGGCATGAGGAGGCTGCCGGCTCCCCCTCTCACCTGGGCTACTTCATCAGGTCACTACAAAGCTCACAACTCATTTCAAGTTGTATAAAGAGTAAAATTAAAACACGCTAAGAATGGATTTGCCTATCACATGCCATGATTCTACTTTTAATTCCTCTTTTGTTTTGGATGAGGACCTATAAGAAAAACACTAAGTGAGGAAAGCCCATCTGAAACTGAAACGACTTGGACAAATGCACACAATTACGCTATTTTACAAACAGAACTAGGCAGAAGTCAGACTAAAATCTTGCCAAAAATTTCATTTTGTCTAACTAATACTCTATGACACAGAACCGCTTATCCGCCAAAGGGCCAGGTCTCCCCATTTATAAACACCCGCGTGGCTCTGCAGCCACAAGGCCAAGGTGCACACACAATCTCTCAGACTTGGGAAGAGGCATGACGGGTGCAGAGTGTGCTGGGCCCGAGCTGCAGTCCTGCTAACCTCTGAGAAAATGTGCACGGTTTTGTCTAAAGTGTGTGCGACACTGTGGGAACCAGGGTGGCCACAGCAAGAGCTGCCCCCTATTACTGACGTGGCCGAGCCGGGCCAGGCAATACTTTTTGTGCTCCAATGGTCTCACTTCAGCTTCCCATTAACCCCACAGCCAGGTGCACATCATCGTCCCTGTTTTGCTAATAAGAAAACAGACACGCTGACCAGAGTGAGGAAGAGACAGCACAGGATCTGAACCCAAGTCTGAATTCTTTATCACAGTATGTTTACCAATCAGACAAAAGCTACAAGGACTAGCAAGCAATGTGCAAGGGCCAGGGAGAACGGGTGCTTAGTGGCAGCCTGGCCATCTCACAGGACCTCTGCTCGGGAACCACAGGTGTCAGAGGCTGTGCCAGGGCTGGCTCCCACAGGTGTTCCACGGGGGCAAGCCCGCTCACAAAGGAACAATTGTCAGATGCTGTGTGTTCCTAGCAATCCCAACCCCTACATGGCAGGAAAAAAATTCTCCTGACCATGCACTCCACCATCGGGGGTGACAGTTGCACCAGGGGCTCTGACACCTCTGAGCACGCTGAGCACAGGGCTCCTGGGAGGCCAGGAGGACAGAAGAAGAAGCAGGTTCTGAGAGAGCAAGTGGTCTGCAGGGCACCAGGGAAAGCCTGTGGTACCCAGGGTGTCCACGTGGACCCCACACTTCCCACTCCATGTCGGCTGCCACCTCTGCCCACAACACTGACCCAAGTGGCACCCCCAGGGCCGTCCCCAAGTATCAGTAGGCTAAGGTCAGGAAACATGGGGACCAGAGGTGGGTAAAAGGAGGTGAGGACACTGGCGCTTACACTTAGTCTCATGTGTACATGAAGTAAGGTAAGGCAGAGCAGGACGGGCTGGGTGCCCACCAGATTCATCAGGAAACAGAAGCCGGTTAACACCTGCCTCCTCCACAGGAGTGGCGGGGGAGTGTGTCGTCTCTGTCTCGCAAACGGCTTACCTGGAAGTGGACTACACTTACGAGGCTGTTACCATGGAGTGTTCCTTCTCTGCAACGGGGTGCCAGTCAGAGCCACCAACCAGCCTGTGGTTTCGCTATAGAGCTAACCAGGCCGAGAAGCTGTACTTGGGAGGACCAAAAATTAAGGTGGAGATGGCCCTGGAAAAACGCTACGTGTCCCTCACAGTGAACAGGGTGACCCTCAATGACAGCGGCATCTACATCTGTGGAATAGCCTATAGCAGTTCCGACTCAAAAGCTAAGCAAACAGGAGCAGGGACCATGCTGGTGGTAAGAGGTGAGTCAGTGATTTACTCCAGCACGTGGAATTGTGCTCAGCCCTTTAAGCACACTCCATTACTTACATGCAGAGGTTACGAGCTGAGTTTCCTAGCTCAAAGCCTGAGTTGGTGAAGGGTGTGGTTGGATTAAAGAACCCAATCACATGAAGTCTGGGTTAAAGAACCATTCTGACCTCACCTCCCAGGCACCAGGAACAAACTCACGGGTATGTCAGAGGCTGTACATGCTACATCCAGACTTAGTGGTGAAGGCTGACCACTTATGTCCTCCTTTCTGTGTATTACCATATTCCAAGTTCAAAGGGAAACATGCTAAATAACTATCAGCTTCTGCAGGAATTGGAATGGTACTACACTGCCTAAATCAAAGCACTGAAAAAGTACAGTGATCAATAAAATGGACCCAGAAAAAATATGCATATAGAGAATACAAAATTTAGGGAGAACCCAACTGGGGGGTCCTGACCACCTAGGGGTAGCAGAGAACAGAATGGGAACAGTGTGGCCTGGCTTCTTGAGTTTGTTCAAACCCGTGACAATTTCCTCACTCAAGAGTACACGGATCCTAACTAAGTGAATTAGATTTCAGGAAAAAGGACGTCACATGTTTTGGGGGAAGGAAGACAAGGGCAGTACTTTTTTGGATCTCCTCCCGTAAAAAGAACTCTGGTATGGTGACTACTGAGATCAAGACAGTATGATCTCCAAAACAACTAGTCCTCTGGTTTAATTTACTAGGAATATTCTAATAGGCCTTTGAAACCCCAATGCTCCTTAACCTCAGTTTATTTTTACTGGTAAGATAAATATAAGTGTTTACACACATAAAGCATTTTTAGTAATGCCTGGCTTGTAGCAAGAACTCAGTAAATGTTAATTAGATATTAAAGCATACTCACAACAACATTGGAGATTTGTATATCTCACTGAACTAGACTTCTATAAAAAATGTTATTAGCCAAAAGACAAAATGGTCCATAGAGATAAAAGTTTCATAATTGCAAGCTTACATGAAAAGAGATTACTTTAGGAGCAAAAATGAACATATTGCTAAGACAGACATTTTACTTCCCTGCTTTTTCTACAGAGCTCCTAATTTATCATATGAAAGACTTTTTAACAAGTACCAATATAACCACACCTAATGGTTAACACCTAATTTACTGGTTTCACAACAAAAAAATGTGTATTATTTGAATTGAGTACATAGGATAAGCATTTGTGGGATATCTCATTGTAAAGTACAGCCTATTCAAATAATAACTACAAATTTAACTTGAAGACATGGCATGTTACTTTATCCCTATCCTAGCATACAGGATGCTTCCTTCAAGAAGGGAGACATTCAGAATGTGACGTGGATTCAGTAATTCCACTTCAGAACTTTATTAGAAAAAAGGCACATGTAACGACGTCTGTCCTGTAGGCATGGCAGCATGGTCTCTGGTTATCTTACAGACAGCACCATCTGGCCATGCATACCGAACAGGTCAAGGTTATAAATGTGGCTTAATGAATATCTAGGAAAATATCTTAACTCCATACACAGACTCAGGGTGACTCTACACACTACATCTAACAAAGGAAAATTTAAATGTCCTTGAACAAACTATCTTGAAATGTTTATCTAACTTAAAATAACACTTTATATAAAAAATGGTCATAGCAGTATGACAAGTAATTGGCTGCATTTTCAGAAATCTTTTGTTTTAAAAATGCGTAATCTTTTTTACATACTACAAACTGGTGAACTGGCTTTAACTACAGAATATACTTGAGTGTCTTTTGAATCAAGTGACCTGGAATACATTTTTATATGAATATGGCCAAGCAGAAGCAGAGAGTTCACTTTTACACCTCTAACATGTAGCTTCAGTTACACTTTATGCATACATATGCAATGATAGTTTCAATGGTGACTGTGGCTCTTTCTGTTTTTGTAATTAACAAAGAAACTAAGGTTCTCAGCGTGGAAATGAAGAGTCTCCTGGCAGCTCTCTTATTCCTGCTCTCTCTCTACATTATTGGTGTGGCTGTGGTCTTCATAGTCCTCTCCAAAGTAAGTCACATCTCCTGCTTGGATGTCCTAATGCCATCAATGTTATCATAATGAAATAATTCCCATCTCTCCACATGTGAACCTCAGAACTAGTTCCCCTAATTAACATCTTCCTTTGCATCTGCAGGAAACACCACCTGCAGGAGAGGTCTGTAGAAGCAGCATAAATTTTCATCGAATTATTATTAACCAGAGTATACAATTTACAGTGTTTCTTTGAAACAGTAATCTGGTAACAAGAGAGCCTTCTTTGTAACTACTTTATATGCTTTCTGGAGGGAAATGCCGGAGGACTGGGGTGGGAGAAGATCTAAGACCAGTCTTTAAGAGCAAAATGGGGTTGGCTGCTTTTAAATGTATTTTTCAAAGACCTTATGTTTTTAGAAAGAGTATCTCCTGACTGTTCATAAGCTGTAAGAGGGGATACACAGTGTTTTATTAAGATTACTATAAATCCTACAATCCTAACAAATTTGAGCTGTTATTTTATTGAGAAAGGCATCTTAGAAATGACATGAAAATCATTAAACTTTTATTGTACATCACTAAAGTATTAAGTCAGTTGAATCTTATTCAGGCATAAAATACCTGCCAGAATTGTTTTGAGTGCACAAAACTCATAAGTTTTTTTTCCTTTTCTTCCTGGTAGTCAAAATCTAACTCTCTAGGAAAGAAAGAAACAGAAGACTCACTAAAGGTACAGATCAATCTTGCAATATCGCTTTTAAATTGTGACTGGTTGTAATTATTTCAAATCTGAAATATTTTAAGAAACAGAGAACATCATGGTAACTTTAAAGCACAGATAGTATTTCCTATTGTTGAGAAACTCAACCGTAATCTGGAATGGTAAACTATGATTTAATCTTGATAGTTCTCAACCATAACTTTTACTTAATATACTGAAAATATTAAAGAGTTTACTGTAGATGTGCTGGTGGGGGGTAGTTTCTGAGACTGATGGTGTAAAGAAAGAAAAAGCTTTGATGATGTTCAATAACTACTGCTTCTAGTCTCACGAGACGTTTTTTCTTCTTTACATTTCTAGAAAAAGAGTGTTCGGCGTATTTTTCAGGAAATTGCTCAAGAACTGTATAATAAAAGACATGTGGAAACAAACCAACAACCTGTAAGCATAATGTATCAATAAGATGTAACAGATATGAAGCATATTTGACTGAAAAAATTAAGCTGTCAACAAACTATCAATAATCAAGTCTTCCTTTAAAAGAGTCTAGAAAAGGACTTTAACAAAGGGCTTCTTGTATAGGGTCTGCCTTGATAAATACATAACAAAGAACAGCTGATGCAATATTAAATAAGGACCAGGTTGGCAGCTTTGTGGCATGGAATCTTTCAGAAACATACTGGATGTAGGCTACATTTTCAGTACAGACAAGGATGCTTCGGTGGATTAAAAACTACCTTGTACAGTGTCTTGTATGCAGTAGATGTTGAAACATTTGTAGATCAAATCATATAGGAAACATTACCTATTACTAATAAGGCAGAAACAAATTCACATTAGAAAAGCAGGTAATGAAAATTAAAAATGAGTACACCAGTCTTTGGGACTGGAGTGACACACCTTATCTATAATATATCTGATAATGTTTCTTTAGAGTCCTAAAACCAGATGCTGGTTTTAGAGCTAACAGAGAAGATACTTGCTTTCCATGATCCATGATCAGATTGCTCAGATTTAAATGACATGTATACAAAATAATGAATGTATATACTAGTAAAGATAGTCTTCTCTTAAGTAGCAGAGGGCAAATGCATCAGGATTCTGACAGGTGTGTTTTTTTTAAATCTGACTCTTAAAAATGACTTTCATCCAATAGAGAATATAGTCTTAGTCAATTCATTCTTTAGTGTACACAGAAATAGGTAAAGAAGTGATCTAATTACCTAAGACACCACTCTGAATAATAATTATTGTCTGTTCACATTCTTGTTTTATTGAGGCCAGAGTATCTTCTTCAGCAAAAGTAACTGGCTCTGAGACAGGACTGGGAGCAGGGTTATGACAAGTTCTAAGGCAGGGCTTTGCAATGGCATCTGAACAAGAAAATTGAATTTCAGATTGATCCCACATCTTACTCTAAATATAGTGGTAACTTTCCCTTAAGAGTCCTGGGAAGGTCCTCAGAACCCAGAATGCAGGATGGCTAGTAGTTTATAGGCTGCTAACAGATGGCGTCATTGGGTATATAACCTTAAATATGGCTTCCTGATCACTATTGCAGGAAAAAGACAACACTTACGAAAACAGAAGTGCACTTACCAACTACGAAAAACCATAGCAAATTTAATTTTCAGCAGTCATGGCAGTGTTAACGGACGTAAGCCCATAAGGGCTTTAAATAAACAATCAGAAGTAAATGGAAGACAACCGGCTGCAAGGAAGGGTAATGCCATGGAATAAGGAAACTACAACAGTAATTACCAAAATATTAAAACCAAAAACAATGCAACTGAAAAATTCTTCCTTTATTTGCTAGGAAAATTTTAAGAAGGCTAACATTTTTAAAAACTTCCATTTTTGTGACCTGTATTTATGTACTATGTATATCCTGCATTTGCCTGCTCCTGAAACGAGACGTGTGATGACTGTTACCCTGGAGATCGGAAGCACATCATGTGCCTGAGTCTGAGTGGAAGCGCTGTCACTGCAGGTTGTAGAAGCGATACGACAATGAGACTAGGTTGGAGGAGGAAGAAAGTGCCAAAAGCTAAGTTAAAGAAAATCCACCTTGAAAAGCACCTTGGAGCAAGTTATTTCCTCCAGTATTGCAATGGGTGATGCAGAGCATCACATACAAAATCACCGCCTCATGCTACCTCCAAAGTGACTCGGACAGAAGAGAGACTAGAGAAGGGCTATGATCCCTACAATGAATAAAATCCAAAGCAGAGGGCGAAACAGAAAACGCCTAAGAACAAATAAGCCACCACCGACTCTAGATGTCAGTGTTGGGCCAAACAAACAGCAGAGGAAGGGGCGGGCAACACAGGGCACTTGCCTTGGCAAATCTGATCTTTCACTAGCTGAGGGAACTATCAGCTGAGCAGCTGGCTACAGCAAAGTTGCTCGTGAAACTCATTACCATATCACTAAAAAAGACATGTTATACAGACTGCTCTTTGAAATAATCCACGTAAAAAGTTTATTAAAATACCCACAAGTGTGCATTATTAAACATAACTTACAACCCACTATATCTATTTCATTAAAATATTTCTTTACAACTGGTATTAAATGAGATGTATTTCTATTTTTGAAACACAATATAGAATTTTTAAATATTTTAAGATCCCTTTGAAAGCATTTTGCACCGATGGCTTAAGTTGGTATCTCCAATCTTCCTAAGCATGTATGCCAGGAAAAATAGAAAAGGGGGGGAGGTGTGAGCACATGTTATGTGTGCTGCTATGCCCATGGTACATACATGGTGTGTGTGAGAATGCACATGTACATTTATATACATGTGCATCTTATATATGTACACACATGTGCATCTTATACACAAAAAGAAATTAAGCAATTGGCTTAAAAAGTAATATAAACAGAAAAGCTAACCTTTTCTTCTCTACCCCAAAATAAATTGTCTTGTTTACTCCTTAGGGTATATAACTTCATTTTGAGACTACTGACTTAGTAAAATATATGAACTTTTAGCCCAAATGGAAAAATGGTTAAGTACTAAAACCATCAAGGTGACAGATGTAGTGTTGGATTATTTCTAGGCTTCATTGTATTTTTGGTACTTCTCAGACTGAAAATATACAGTTCTGTGTATTACTAACAACGAGATAAAATCCCTAAGATAAACTAGTATTTGACTCACAGTAAGTCTTTCCCAATGCATGCAAGGACTATAATTCAGGCTGATTTTTAAACTGAAATTTGGAGAACACTTTCCAAAGAAAGCAGTCACATTCCCTTCGGCTATATATAGGAGAACCTGATGTGCATATAACATGATTCAATCTCCTACTCATCCCTCTTAGTCAAGCTACTGAATGCAATCCTGCTGTGCCATCAAAGCCTCTTCTGCATGCTCTCTAAGGTTACGCTGAACTCATTCTTCCCACACCACCATGGCCACACTCCCACGCTTTTGCATACACTATTCCCCTGCCTGGGTAAGTGCTTTGCAGCTCAGACATCACCTCCTACATGAAACTTCCCTGACTCCTGTAGCATCTAACAGATCTGTCCATCTCCAACCCCACAACAGGTGGTCACATTTCTTGTCAGATTATCCTGCCGTTGTCTGTTACATTTTTTTTCTGCACTATTCTGTTCTGTTTTTTTTTTTTTTTTTTTTTTTTACAAATTTATTTATTTATACAAGAACCAGGGTACAGGCCAGATGTGCGGGAAGGTGAGAGGATTCACCAGAGACAGAGTGGGGAATAGAACAGGGAGACTGACGAAATACACTGCTGAGGGGAGCAGCGGGCGAGACAGGAGAGGTCTGCTGAGTCATGTGGCTGCTCCCTGGCCAGGGATCAAACTCATGCTGCAGTGGCTGCCGATAGCTTCATAGTGCTGAGACTTAACTCCTTGCACCACCAGGGAGGCCGCAGAGGAATTTTTTTTTTTTAAGATTTATTTATTTATGCATACGAGAGCTGGGGTACAGGCCAGAGGTGTGGGGGGGGGTGAGAGGATTCACCAGAGACAGAGTGGGGAACAGAACAGGCAGACAGAATAAAATACACTGCTGAGGGGAGCAGTGCGCAGAACCCTGCCAAGCCATGTAGGCGCCTCCCCCTACCCCCACCCCAGCCGGGGGCAGGGATCAAAGTTGTGCTGCAGTGGTTGCGGACAGCTTCATAGGCTGCATCTTAATCCCTTGCGCCACCAGGGAGGCTCACTATTCTGTATTTTAAGACTAGAAGCATCTTTCTTATTTATTTTTGCATTAAATTAAATAATTTAAGATGCATGTATGTGAACAATGTTTCTATAGAAAAATATTTTTTTCCAGCATTTCAACAGAATTAGAGCACACTTCCCTCCCCAGCCATCAACCCTCACCCCTCTCCTAAGGACTGCTGATTCCCTAACAGTATTCACTTTCCTGCTAACTCAGCATCCAGAATTTTCACTGGAAAGATTAAACTATAACATTCTGTTTAGATTTGTGTTTCCCAGGACAATGAAAATAGAACTAGCAGAGACAGAGGTTCTAGTGTCTACAGACACTCTGCCCTCTGGACGAGCACTCAAACCACATACCAAAAAATGTTAACAGAATTTTCAGAATAAGTGATTTCTTTCTCTCTGCTATACAAAGAAGTGAGAGAATCTGAAACCCCTGACTGACAGGCAAACAGTTACGTCTCTGTGGAGTCAAGTCACATAAACCAATGGAGAATGCACGGTCTTTGAGAGTAAGTTAAAATGCAGAATGAAGGGGGCTCCCTGGTGGCCCAAGGGATTAAGACGCAACTCTGATGCAATCCACAGCTACCGCAACATGAGTTCCGTCCCCAGCCAGAGAGCAACCCACATGGCGCAGCAGACCTCTCCTGCCTCGCCCACTGCTCCCCTCAGCAGTGTATTTCAGTCAATCTGCCTGTTCTGTTTCACCACTCTGTCTCTGGTAGATCAGATCCTCCCACCCCCCACGCCTCTGGCCTGTACCCCAGTTCTTGTATGTATAAATAAATCTTTAAAAAATAAATAAAATGCAGAATGAAGACATTCAAATTCTGGTTATTATTTCTATTAAAAGTTTCATGGGCAGATCAAGGAGACACTGACAAATATTTCACAATAAATATTTTGGACTGTAAACAAAAATGCTCAATAAAGCCACAAAGTTTTAAAAAGTAACCAAATAGGATGGAATGGAGTACATTCAACATTTATCACACACTAACATTGAGACAGATAAGGCTGCGCAATCTATACATTAAATCATTTAATCCTCACAACATACCTCAAGGCAGGCATCAACTCCGTTTTTACAAATGAGAAACCAAGTTCAGTGCAAGGCCCAGTCATGAGGGCTGTATCCAAAAGGCAACACTGAGGGCACTTTCAAACAAGGGCTAGTCCTCACAGCCCCAACTCTAGTGAAACAAGTCCAGACAGAGACCTGCTTATTTCCATTTAGACTGATGGAAGCTTTAAGACTAAACACGTAGGGCCTCCCCTGGTGGCGCAGTGGTTGAGCGCCAGGCTGCGAAGCTGCCCGCAGCCTCTGCAGCGCGGGTTTGATCCCCGGCTGCCGGTGAGGGTCCCACATGGCATGCAAACCTCTCCTGCCACACCCGCTGCTCCCCTCAGCAGTGTATTCTGTCGGTCTGCCTGTTCTGTTCCCTGCTCTGGCTCTGGTGAATTCTCTCACCCTCCCGCGCTTCTGACTGTACCCAGTGCTTGTATAAAAATAAAATAAATAAATCTTTGAAAAAAAAAAAAAAAGACTAAACACATAATCTAACCAGAACAATGACCCAGAAAAGTGGGAAAGTCACCAAGGGCTACCTCTCAATTATTAAGGGCCTCGCTGGTGTCTCTGGGGAAGCTCTACCAAACTTTCAAAGAACAGGTAGCCACCAATGCAAGTTAAACTGTTCTAGAGTATACGAAGAAGAATGACTTTTTAGAGTCAGTGTGAACACTGATATCAAAACATGACAGACAACATCTTTCAAATAAATAATAGATCAGATACAGACCAACTATCATCAATATTAATGCTTATTTATTTAGAAATTTTGTAAATACAATCCAATGATATGTTACAAAAGGATTCTATCTTCTAAGCCCAGAAATGCAGGGATGCATATATATTAGAAAAAGTGTTATTAACTGAGTAAGTTAAAAGAAGGGAAAAAACAGGGTATCTATCTCCAGATGCTAAAAATGCTAAAAATTAATAACAATTCATTATTAATTTCTGACTTTTTAGGCTTTTATTAAACAGGCCTTTTAAAAATATTTTCAAGCTGGGCCTCCCCGGTGGCGCAGTGGTTGAGCGCTGGGTTGCAAAGCTGCACGCAGCCTCTGTGGCGCCGGTTCGATCCCTGGCTGCTCCCCGGCCACTGGAGGAGGGTCCCACATGGCGCGCAGACCTCTCCTGCCGCCCACTGCTCCCCTCAGCACTGTACTTCGGTCCTTCTGCCTGCTCTGCTTCCCGCTCTGGTGAATTCTCTCACCCTCCCACGCTTCTGACTGTACCCAGTGCATGTATAAACAAACAAACAAGCAAACAAATAAATAAACATGCCTCTATAAAAAAAAAAATTAAAAAAAAAAATATTTTCAAGCCAAAAGACAGCATTATACTTTAAGCAGAAGCATTTTCACTAAAGTCATAAACAGGGCAAAAGTGTTCACCATTTTTTAACACATTCTGGAAATAACTACCAATTCACCTTAACAAAAAAAAGTCTAAAAATGAAAAGGAAGTACTTAAACCATTTGCAGATGCTACACCTGTGTATCAAGACAACAAGAGACTCAATCAAGAAACTATTGGCAACACCAAGGTAATTCATTAAGGTAAATGGCTACAAAATTGGTACACACATGAAAATCAATGCTTGTGTATGTGTACATGACATCCAATTTAAAATATGATGGAAGAGCCATTTGTGATGACATGGATGACCCTGGAGAATATTATGCTCAGTGAAATAAGCCAGACACAGAAAAACAAATACTGTCTGATATCACTTATATGTAGAGTCTAAACAGAGTCAAGCCTATAGAACAAGAGCTCACAAGGCGGTTGCCAGGCTTCCAATGGTAAAACGAGTAAGTTCTGGGATCCAACCATGGTGACCAGTTAATACGGTATCATTTACTTCAAATTCTCACCACACAAAAAACCTAATTGTGAGGTTACATTAAGTGCTAGACTTGTTAATCATTTCATGATGTATACTTATGGTAAGTCATGACTTTGCACATCTTAAATACATACAACTTTTATGTGTCTATTATGCCATATTAAAGTTGGGAAAATTTTTAATTAAAAAAATATGCAAGAAGAAAAATTCTGATTTTCAGTATCTCTTCCTCACACATACACATACACCACTAAGAAAAGTTGTTCAGGACCTTTATGAAGAAAATGTTATATTACTAAGAACATAAAGAATTAAATAAATTGAAAGACACAGCTTATTATTAGCTAGGAAGATTCAATACTACCTCAATTAGCCTATTTAATTGAATATAGGGAACTAGACAAACTAGTGCTAAAGTCAATGCACAAAATAAATAA